GAAATATAAGGTGCCGTTTGGTAACACTTACATTTTCAGTTTTCTGTTTATATTTACAAAAATTTTAAAAACTCAAATAAAAACTTATTTGGTAAAATTTTTGATTTATAAATCAGTGGTCTCAGTTTATAAATTTGACCAAAAAATAAGTTTCCATTTTGAGTTTTCAGTTTTTTTTTTTTTTATCACCCAACATTAGAGCCTCGACCCAAAACCCAATTATCCTCTAGGCTTGGGCCTAGACTTTTTGTGGGAGCCCAAATCGGCCTAGGCTGGGGCAAAACCGATTTTGCACCCCTCATCAAGGCTTGTTATCTTCTTTGGTGGGTCTTACCCCAAGCTCACGATTCAAACCATTCATAATATTAAATCTATCACGAAAATCATCTATGTCAAAAATTAGGTTCATTATATATTAATAACTACATAATTAAATCATATTTATCTTAATAATAGATAGTTTAGTTTTAAATTTATACGTCATATTTTTTTTAATGACAAATGTAATTCAATCATATAATTATTGTTGTCAAAATAATCTAATTTTTACATAAAAAAATATTTGGCGAAATCATACCTAATGAACGGTTTGATAAAACCAAGGTAGGCCCGACCTCAAAAGACAACATGCACACCTCCTAACTTTTGTTATAGGACTGCAAATATTTAATCAATTTGATTTTTTTTATCGATGATCTATTCAACGAATCTTACAATGTGAACAGTTCAAATTATCAAAATTAATCCAAAAATAAACTTATTTAACTATATAACAGTAATTGAGGTGCACTCCGCACAGCCACCAGTCACCATCCCGAATCCGATCCATAGCCAAGTTATATATTTGACTATCAATAATGATTCATCCCACTAAAAATATTACCACTAATAACACTAATGCATTAAAAAAAATATATATATAATTCTAAAACCAAAACATCACATCATTAATGACGAGACCTACTACCACCTAATTAATGGGAGCACTAATTAGTGCTCCCAGCATTTTTCATTTGACTATAGATATTAGAACTCCGTAATCTTCGCAAAGAAACCAGGGGCTGTTTTATTGGCCACCCCCCCCCCACCATCACCACTACCACCACCCCCTGCCACCAAATTATGAGTCTACCACCCACCCACCACTACCCACCACCACCCGCTTCCCACCACCCGACGTCACCACTTTCCACCACCGTCTTCCGCCGCCACTTGCCACCACTCGCCATTTCTCACTCTTTTTTATATTTAAATTTTTTTTAAACATTTTGTCAATTACCAAACACGTTTGTAGTTTATGTTTTTCTAAAAATAAACAAAAACTAGTTTATAAATTTTTTGTAAATATAAACTGAAAACATAAACGTTACCAAACACACCCTAAGTATGTTTTATTCACATTTTACCTACCTTTTTCATTTCTCTTTCCAAATCACTCCTCAAATCTCCCAACCAAACACAGCATAAGTAGTTTAAAAAAAAATTAAAATAGTAAGTTCTAAACTTTCCAATGAATCCATATTCATCTATCAACTTGCACGGCCCGCTCAGTTCGCATCCGTTAATTAAGTAGACAGATACATATTATTTTTTTTAATCTACCTAAGTTCAAACGGATGACGAACGAGAAGCCACACGACCCAACCCAATCTGCAAACACGCCTAAACATAGATAGATAAAATTTATTTTATAGTATTAACTCTTATCATTTTCTATAGAGATTCTATATGAATATTGACAGATTTGAGCCATTTGAGCCACAAAAATTTGAGCTACCAAACATTTTCCATATTCTATTTATACTATCATTACTCATTCTTCAAATAATATTTTGCATTTGGTGCTGATTTTTGTCAAGTGCCTTCCACACTACAAAAAATTAAAGTTTTAGAAACCAAAATTTAGGAGTAAAATTATTTTTTAAGGACCAAATATTTTTGTTGCAAAAAATGTCATTATATTTTTAGTAATGAAAATTAAACATTAGTAATGAATTATTATCTTTTTTGTCTAAAAAAATAAACTATTGTGAGATTAAATTATTTTGTCTCTACAAGTTTATTTATTAGTGACATTTTCAAAATTTTATCGCTAAAAACTCTTTTTTTTTTGACTTTTTGAGACGAGCTTTTAATGACTATCCTCAAGATGATAAAAATTGGTTCCTAAATGTCTTTTGCAACAAAATTTTTACTTTTGGAGATTAAAAAATTTAATGTCTAAAACGCTTATATATTGGTACTGTTTGGTGTAGCTGTTAAAACAGATTATAAATTATAGCTTAACAGATTATTGATTATGACTTTAATCAAAAGCTGTTAATCTGTTTGGTATACCTGTTGGATTATAGATTTAAGTTGTTGAGTAGTGTTTGTTAAATAAGCTGTGAAGTAGCTTTTTCAATTAATTTTTATTTTTTATTATTCACTATTTGTCTACATTTTTCATAAAAAAATAATAATAATATTTTATAGTCTATTTGGGTCTTTTTCTATTTTTTAAAAAATAAAAAATAAAAAAATCTAAGAGTATAACAGTGAATTAACATGTCCACAGCAGAAGCTGATAATCAGAAGTAAGGGGTGAGCAGCTTCTCAGAATCAACTTTTTTGACTTAAAATAAGCTGTTAGAATCAGAAGTTGTTTGGAATAAGTTTAACCAAACAGTCCAAAATAACTTTTTAAAAGCCAAAAGCCATAAGCTGACTCAAAAAAGCCCCACCAAACACCCCCATTGTAGTGGCAAGGACATATAGAAATTAATTTTATTAATTAAGGGGTGGCTGTATTGTATGTGTATTTGTATTGTTCACTCATAGTGAATATTCATTATATATATATATTTATATTAGAAAAATTATATTAAAAAAATTAGGATTAATCCTTATAATAAAATAAATCTTGCATTTTTGATTTTATCAATTTAAACCCTAAATAACTAAATCCTTTGATTATTTCCGTTAATTAAATCGAAGAAATTTTTTTTTAGATATTTTATATATACCTACATTGAATTTAATGACTAAAATATCTTTTTTGTCTATTTTATTTAACGGAAATAAGCAAATGATTAGATTAAAAATAAATCAAAAGATTAGAATTAATTAAATTCAAAATTTATTTTACTACAAGAATCAAATTTTAATTTTTTTTTATATAATTTCTGCTATATCCTTTTACCATAGGTGTAAGGAACAAACAAAGCCAACTGTGTTTGTGTTGAAAAACATAGACTAATGTTATAAACTATTGTGAAGTAATCTTGATATAAAAAATTGTTTATCCATCGGCCTAAGAATAGAGGCTGCAATTAAGTTTGTCAAAAGTGGAGGCTGCAAATCAAGTTTGTCAAAAGTGGTTGTAACTGTTTGAAATTCATAGCCCCAGTCGTATCTGCATTTAATATTTTCACATTGTTAGTTTTATCTATATATAGCTATTATATTTTGAGAATTCAGTGTGTGGGAGAGAGAAGAGAGTTAGAGAGTAAAAAGTGTGTTTTTCATTTTCTCAGTGTATTCTAAATATTTGAGTGAAATGAATCTATTTTTCAGATTATACATTCTCTCTTGTATTTGTTTTTTGTGAACCACCATAAGTGGTTTGCACCCCACTCTCACCAACAGTGGTATTAGAGCACCAAGAGGGTCTGTTTTTTTTTTTAAAAAAAAAAAAAATACAGTGAAACAAAGCAAGTTTTTGCCCAAAAATCAAAGTTGCTGAAATAAACTTTTGATCACACAAATGTGTAAGTCTCATCGAGACGATCACACTGAAAAAAACCATGTTGAAAACCTAGCCACACAGAGCCCTCACGCGCCACACGCGCCTGTTGATACCGTCGTCATGCGCAGAAATGTGCCCACGCGCTACCACGCGTCTTCTTCGCCTGGAGTTGCAGGGTCTGACCCGTCTGGAACACGATCTGGTCCATTAGCCTGGATTCAGATCCATTCCAGGAGCTGACGTCATTGCTAACGTCACGCCAAGTCATTCAGCCAAGCCGAGCCACAAGTCGAGCCACAAGCCGAACCGAGCTGCAAAAGCCGCGCTGCCAAACCACAGACCGAGCCTAGCCAAGACGCCACGTTGCTGACATCACGCCGACATCATCCGATCTGAAAAATTATCCGGTGCTTCTCGGAGTCTCAGATTCAACAGATCTTAACCATTCAATTGTTTTTGCTAGATTTAAGCCATTTGAACTCTGTTTTTGGTGATCCAATAGCGTTTTTCGACTATTTGGAGTATTCCAGACACATCTGTACGGTCAGAATTTGGAAATAACATCCTGAAAATTTGTAGATTTTTAAAGTCAACCAATGGCCAACACAAACAATTTCTTTCAGGCACAGTTTCCAAAACTCAGCAAGGAGAACTATGAAAATTGGAGTATTCAAATGCAAGTCCTACTAGCCTCACAAGATTTGTGGGAGTTAGTGGATCGAGAATATGACGAGCCAGCTATTCTGAAGATGAAGGAAATTTAAATGAAGCTCAGAAGACGACGTTAAAAGATTCAAGGAAGAGAGATAAAAAGACCTTATATCTACTTTATCAAGGCATTAATGAGTCAAGCTTTGAGAAGATTTCAGCAGCAACAACCTCTAAAAAGGCATGGAGTATTCTTCATAATTCACACCGAGAAATTGAGAAGACGATCAGAGTTCACCTCCAGGTGTTACGCGGTGATTCGAGATGTTGCACATAAATGAAAATGAGTCAATTTCTGAGTATTTCAACAGAACATTGACCATTGTTAATCAGATGAGAAAATATGGAGAAAAGATGGAATCTCTTCAAGTGATAGAGAAGATTATACGATCACTCAGTCCCAAGTTCGAGCACGTGGTTGTAACAATAGAAGAGTCCAAGGATCTCAGTTCCATGACCACCGATGAGTTGATGGGCACACTTAAGATTCATGAACAAATGATCAACAAGAAGACTCCCTCAAGTTCTCTAGAGCAAGCTCTTCAATCAAAGCTATCTTTCAGAGATGACAGAAAACGAGCAAAGGGGAACATCACAAAGAAGCAGAGGAAGAAGCTGTGGTTACAATAACCGAAGTTCTGTTTTTCGAGGAAGAGACGGAAGAGGTCTAGCTAGAGGAGGAAGAAGTCAACCACTTTTTGCTCCAAGAGGAAGAGCAAGAGAAAGAGGAGGTGGTTACAACAACCGACCAGGATTTGACAAAAGCAATGTTCAGTACTACCATTGCCACAAGTTCGGGCATTACAACAATGAATGCCGGAGTAGAACAACAACAGAAGCCAGCGAGCAAGTAAATTTTGCCGAGCAGGAAACAAACAAAGTTGGACCAACAGTCCTGTTTGTCCACTATGGAGATACTGAAAACCAAAATAATGTTTGGTATCTAGATTCGGGAGACAGTAATCACATGTGGTAAAAGAGAGTTGTTCATCGAGCTTGACGAGATTGGACAAGCACAGGTCTCATTTGGTGATTCTTCAAAGACTCCAATGAAAGGAAGAGGCAATATGCTGAGCAAGCTCAAGAATGGAGATCATAATTACATCTCCAATGTTTATTATGTTCCTGCCATGAAGAACAACATTTTAAGTATAGGACAACTCCTAGAGAAAGGATACGACATCAGCATGAAAGATTGCCATCTTACCATCAAAGACAGTCATGGTAATTTGATCGCTCGGGTGAGAATGTCCAAGAATAGGATGTTTGCATTGAACATCCAACATGATGCTGCAAAGTGTTTAAGTGCCATCATCAAAGACAAAGACTAACTATGGCATTTGAGGTTTAGACATTTCAACTTTGGAAGCTTGAAGTTGTTGTCAAACAAGAATATGGTGAAAGGGCTCCCTCATATTGCTCATACTAATGAGGTCTGTGAAAGCTGCATTCTTGGCAAGCATCATAGAACTAGCTTTGCCAAAGAAGTGAAGTGGAGAGCAGCAAAGCCGCTGGAGTTAGTGCACACCGATGTGTGTGGTCCATTGAAGCCAATATCAAATGGACAGAATAGATATTTTCTCACCTTCATTGATGATTATAGCCAGAAGACATGGGTGTATTTTATTAAAAGAAAGTCGGAGGTGTTCAATATCTTCAAAGAATTCAAAACTTTTGTAGAAAAACAAAGCAGCTACTACATCAAGACATTGTGGTCAGATCAAGGTAGAGAATATACATCAGATGCTTTCGAGAATTAGTGCAAAGAGCATGGAATCAAGTATCAAACAACACCATCCTATACGCCATAGCTAAATGGTGTTGTTGTAAGGAAGAATCGCGAAATCTTAGATATGGCAAGGAACATGTTGAAAGGAAAAGGATTGCCCAAGCAATTTTGGGCTAAAGTCGTATCATGTGCTGTGTATCTACTAAATAGATGTCCAACTAGGATCCTTCACTCTATGACTTCAGAAGAAGTTTGGAGTTCATATAAGCCAAGTGCCAACCATCTCAGAATATTTGGATGTGTTGCATACACCAAGATTCCAGAAGCAAGAAGAACCAAGCTCGATGATAAGGGAGAAAAATGTATCCTTGTCGGATATAGAGACAGAACAATGGGATACAAGTTGTATAATCCCATTACCAGAAAGGTGATCATGAGTAGAGATGTGATATTTGAAGAAGAAGAAGCTTGGAACTGGAATCAAGATGAAGTTGTTAAAGATGCAGAACTCATTCTTGAAGATGAAACATCAAAAGCTCCGGTTGAAATTACAAGAGAAGTTCAAGATGAGCCATAAACCCCTCCACATAGAATACCGGCACCTAGATCGCCAGTTTCTCACAGAAGTGATGCATCATCATCATCAGATGATAGTTTTTTCAAACAACCTAGACTGATAAGAAATTTGCAGGAGATTTATGAAGCTACAGAAGAAGCAGATCTGAATTTGTTCTGTCTACTCATAGATAGTGATCCACTTACTTTCTCAGAAACCATCCAAGAAGATAAACGGAAGAAAGCAATGGATGAAGAAATTCATGCCATTGAGAAAAATGACACATGGAAGCTTACCAGTCTACCGGAGGGGCACAAACCCATTGGAGTGAAATGGGTATACAAGACCAAGAGGAATGCACAAGGCGAAGTGCAACGCTATAAGGCAAGATTAGTGGCAAAAGGTTACAAGCAGAGAGCTGGAATTGATTATGGAGAGGTGTTTGCTCCAGTTGCCCAGTTTAAGACTATCAAGCTAATGATTTCTTTGGCTGCTCAGCACAAATGGCAGATCTATCAACTTGATAAATCTGCATTTCTTAATGGTTTTCTTGAAGAAGAAATCTATATTGAACAACCTTTAGGTTATGTTTAAAATGGGCATGAAGACAAAGTGTACAAATTGAAGAAAGCACTTTCTGGATTGAAGCAAGCTCCGCGTGCAGGGAATGCTAGAATTGATCAGTATTTTCATGACAATGGTTTTGAAAAATGCCCATATGAGCACGCACTATATTTGAAGAAGGAAGCTGATGGAAGCATGTTGCTTGCTTGTCTTTATATTGATGATTTAATTTTCATCGGAAACAATCCAGCCATGTTCAAAGAATTTAAAAGAAGCATGATCCAAGAATTTGAAATGACAGATATTGGATTGATGGCTCATTTTCTTGGCATTGAAGTGGCACAAAGAAAAGATTGAATTTTTATTTCCAAAGTGGCTATGCTAAGGAGATTCTCAAGAGATAAGGAATGGAGAATTGCAATCTAGTGAACACTCCTGTAAACAGTGGAGTAGAGCTCAAAAAAGGTACAAATGCTGGTGATATGGATCCAACTTATTTTAAGAGCTTAGTTGGAAGTCTTCGCGAACTTACTTGCAACAGGCCAAACATACTCTATGGAGTAGGATTGATTAGCAGATATATGGAAACACAGGATCAGTCACACCTGTATGCAGCAAAGAGAATTCTTCGCTACATCAGAGGAACAATCGATGATGGTTTATTCTATAAACCAATTGATAATTTCAGTCTTGTTGGTTATTCAGATAGTGACTGGGGACGTGACTTAGATGAGCGGAAAAGCACTACTGGGTTTGCTTTCTTTATGGGAAATATAGTGTTCACTTGGTCATCCAAAAAGCAAGCTATTGTGACACTGTCAACCTGCGAAGCTGAGTATGTTGCAGCCAACTCAGCTGTGTGTCATGCAATTTGGTTAAGAAATGTGCTGAAGCATTTAGGATTTCCACAAGAAAATCCTACTGAGATCTATGTTAAGAAATTTGGTTAAGAAATGTGCTAAAGCATTAGCAAAGAACCCAGTTTATCATGAAAAGAAGTAAGCATATTGACACCCGCTATCATTTCATCCGAGAGCATGTGAAAAATAAAGAGGTGGAATTATTTCCTCACAAATCTCAAGATCAGCTTGCAGATATTTTCACGAAGCCATTGAAAAATGATCTATTCAACAGAATGAATTTGGTGCTCGGGATCAAGCAGCATGGAGAATCAAGATTAAGGGGGGCTGTTGTGAAGTAATCTTGATATAAAAAATTCTTTTTCCACCGGCCTAAGAATAGAGGCTGCAATCAAGTTTGTCAAAAGTGGTTGTAACCGTTTGAAATTCATAGCCTCAGCCGTATTTGCATTTAATATTTTCACATTGTTAGTTTTATTTATATATAGCTATTGTATTTTGAGAATTCAGTGTGTGGGAGAAAGAAGAGAGTTAGAGAGTAAAAAGTATGTTTTTCATTTCCTCAGTGTATTCTAAATATTTAAGTGAAATAAATCTGTTTTTTAGATTATACATTCTCTCTTATATTTATTTTTTGTGAACCACCATAAATAATTTGCACTCCACTCTCACCAACATATACAAGCTACTATCTACAAGACAGTGTTGTAAAGAAGCAAAGAGAGATCATATCACATGCAGTATGACTATATCTGGATGGGTGTACATGATTGCTGTGGGGTTTAATGCCGCTGCCAGGTATGTATTTTTTTAACTCATAGGGGTAATTAAATTATGAAAAATTGTAAATCCGTAATATCTTCTTAAAATATTTAAAATTATCAATTTTTTCATTAAACTGTTGAAAAATTGAATTTCATAAAGCAATGGAAAAATAATTTCATTTTTATAGTGGAGCAAATTTTCTATGTATATGATGCAAGTTTATTTTTGTGTTTAGTGTAAGTCTTTTTGTGTGTTAGAATTGTACCAAAAAAAATTCCATCTGTAATGCAATTATTTTATGAGTGTTCCACTCATTTGCAATTTTTCTTTAAATCATTGGTGATTAAATTATGTGTTTTATACCATTTTAATTCTCAATATTTTAATTATGTCAACGGCAATTGCATAACCATAGACTTCAAATAAAAATGATAAGTTTAGGTACAATTTTTTTTTTTTTTAACCAAAGTATGTTTAAAATTTTTTGTAGCATGGATGCTACTCCATTAATAAACTCTAAATTCAAATTGACCATGATGACTTTATTATAAGCATGTGTACATGCATATAAAATTAATATCACAAAACAAGAGGGTATTATCTCCAAGGATTTTATTGAGAATAAAATTTATTTTAATTTTTATAGTGTGAGAGTGAGCAACGAACTTGGGGCAAGACATCCAAAATCAGCCTCTTTTGTGGTTATAATTGTAACCTTAAGTAATATTGTGCCTCGTCATTAGTTACACCTTCACCGGCGTCACCACCGTTGCAAAGCAGTCTTCGAACTTGCACCCTTCTTGGCAGTTGCCATCGTACTCAATGGTGTTCAACCTGTTTTGTCTGGTAAGTAATTTTTTTTTTTTCTTTTAAAGTTTTATAGGCAAATATTGAAATTCTCTTACTTTAATTCTCTATTGCAAGTCTAATCTTATTTTTTTTTTGCCAACAAGTTTTACCACCTTCCAAATATATATATTTATATTTGTTATTTTATTACTTAGTTTTGGATCTTTCTAATTTCAATACTGTAATCATTCTCACTGTGTCCTACATTCCACTAATTTTAAATTTATAACACTTTATTTTTAGAATAAAATTCGGCAAGAGTTTAGGATGCTTAACATTTTTCTTCTAATGTTTAGGAGAACTCAGATTGTCTCCAGCCAAAATTAAACATAAGAGTCCAGTTTCATGATTGTAGGCCTAATTTTGGATTTATCTTGTTGATTTGAACTGTTCAATTTGTAAGGATCATTGATCAATTTATTCATACAAAAACTTAAGTTGATATAAAATCAGTACCATGTGATTAGTTCACGTGTTTGAAAGAAATACATGACCTATTTTCGAAATCATATTTGTCATCTATTTTTTCAAAAAAAATGTGATCCGATTAGATAGTCATAAATATTCAATCAACTTAATTTTTTGGGATTTTTATTGATAAGTCCAATTTAGAAGTGTTTTAACCCAAGAAGTCCATGAAGAAATTTTTTAACCCATTTAGTCCCATGTATGTATAATTTTATTCCATAAAGTCCATTTTCTTGGTTTACACTATTTTCTTGGACACTTATGCCCTTATATTCAA